TAACAATAATAAATTCTTTTATGCAGAATAATTATTCATTTTCATGGTCTTAAAAAAAGAGTATATTAAAAAATTTAAGATGTCTTAACACAGTTAAGAACAATTAAATACACATTGTAAGACCACACATGAAAAATAGAGTTGAGGTAATTAATTGTGTAACAGAATTTCAAAGCCTATTGTTATTGAATGGGAATTGAACATCTAGTTTGAATTATCCAGATTAGCTATTATAAACAAATTACTTACTAAAAGTATTGGTTTAGAAATTGCATCATATGATCAAACCTCATTGATTTTATCCTCTGGATATTGATCCTTATAACATCGAGAGACATACAGAACAGTTGCTAAAATAATATCTCTCAAAAAAGAAAGCAGGAGCACAGAGCTGTTGACTTGTCTAGTGCTATCCCAGAACCCACTGGGCGTGGATGTACTTGGTTATTCCCCTACTGGATTGTTAACCTAACATGAATGGAACTTGTATGCTCCATTGTAGGCTCTGTAATGATCTTTTTACTCCATTCAATTGCTCAACTCCCTTCTCAACTTCTCTATGCAGACAGTTATTAGTCATTTTAATATCAACACATTGGCATGGATATATGTAAGCAGAGATAATCTATTTCTCATTGAATTGTAGAAAATTGAATTAAGGAAGTATTGACCAACACTAAACTGTGTGCAAGGCACATTGCAAAGCATGTTGGGGTTGAAATAGGAGTAAGGTATTGTTTCTGCCCACAAGAAGTTAACAATCTAACAGTGGAATAACCAATTACAAAAATGCAGTCATATGTTGCTTAATGATGGGGATATGTTTTGAAAAATGCATCATTAGGTGATTTCGTTGTGTGAACATCATAGAGTGTACTTACGTGAACCTACGTGGTATAGCCTACTACACACCCAGGCTATATGGTATGGCCTATTGCTCCTACGCTTCAAACCTGGGCAACATGTTGCTTTACTGAATACCGTAGGCAATTGTAGCGTAATGGTAAGTATGATATCTGTGTATCTAAACATAGAAAAGGTACAGTAAAATATGATGTAAAAGATAAAAAATGGTACATCTGTATAGGGCATTTACCATGAATGGAGCTTGAAGGCCTGGAAGTTTTTACAGTTAACTTTTTTTTAATAAGTAGAAGGACTACACTCTAAAATAATGACAAACATTATAGTATAATCAGTACATAAACTAGTAACATAGTCATTATTATCATTATCAAGTATTATGTACTGTGCATAACTGTGCTATATTTTTATACATCTGGCAGCACAATAGATTTGTTTACATCAGCATCCTCACAAATATATGGGTAATACATTGTGCAATGATGTTATGATGGCTACGAAGTAACTAGGTGATAGAAATTTTTCAGCTCCATTATAATCTTTTTTAAATTTCAAAGTTTTAAGGGGGTACAAATGTTTTTGTTACATGGGTACATTGTATAATGCTTAAATCAGGTCTTTTGGTGTGCCCTTCACCAGAATAGTCTTCATTGTACCCAGTAGGTAAGTTTTTATCCCTCAACCCCCCACTTACTGGTTTCCAATGTCCTTTATATCTCTTTGAGCCCCTGTGTACCCATCGTTTAGCTCCCACTTACTAGTGAGAATGTATAGTGTTTGGTTTTCCATTACTGAGATGCTTCACTTAGAATAATGGTCTCCAGTTCCTTCCAAGTTGCTGCAAATGACATTATTTCATCTCTTTTTATGGCTCCATGTTATTTATACACACCACATTTTCTTTATCCACTCATGAATTGATGGACACTTAGGTTGATTCCATATCTTTGCAATTGCGAATTGTGCTGTGATAAACATTCAAGTGCAGATGCCTAAAATGATTTCTTTTCCTCTGAGTAGATACACAGCAGTGGGATTGCTGGATTGATAGTTCAGTACACCCAAAGGATCACAATAGATCTACAACAACAGACCCCAACCAAAAGGAAATTGCCAAAATGGCAGAAATGGAATTCAGAATATGGATGGCAAATTAGAAGAATGGGATTGAGAGAAAGTTGAAAACCAATACAAAGAAGTCAAAAAAATATTTCAGGACATAAATGAAAAATATCAAAAAGTCTTGTTTTTTCATGTTGCCAGAGTTCTTTTGCTGTTTTCTTCTCATCTGAAACCTCTTCTCTCAGCTTTGGGCTGGTCGGTTTGTGGTGTACCTGTTCTCCTTTGCTGGAAACTCTTCTACTTAGTGAAAAGGAGGACAGATCCCTAGACATGCTTTTGTCTCCTACTCTGGAGGACTGACCCAGTGGGAGAGGGGCAGACGCACTGAGAGCCTGTAATGCAGCTGTTCTCCTGCATCGTTCCATTCTGTGTGGTTGTCACAGTCCAAGCCAGTGCTAGGGGATATTTTTCCAACAGAGCCACTGTTGGAAGCTCTTACCAGAGGCTGGGCAAATCTCTCTCCATGGAGGCAGGTGGCATGACCTCGGCTGGTGCCTGGGGTAGGTCACAGGACCTTGGTGGGCACTTGAATGCATCACAGGACTGCCCCTAGCAGTGGGGCAAATTGTGGGACCTTGGTGTGTGTCTGGGCATGTCAAAAGTCCTTGACTAGTTCATGGGCAGGCTCTGGGACCTTGGCAGGTGCCTGTACATTTCATGGGACCTTAGTGGGCCCCTGGACATGCCACAGGACTGTAGCTGGCAGCAGATTGGGTTACGGGATCTTGGCAAGTACCTGAGCACATTGTAGTATCTGGGCAGATACCTGGGAACATTGCAGTACCTTGGCAGACACCTTGGCAGGTCACGGGACCGCAGCTGGTGGTGGGGTGGGTCGTGGGATCTTCAGGGGTGCCTGTGTGGGTCGTGGGACCTTGGTGGATGTCTGGACAATTCAGGGGTCCTTGGCCAGTGCCTGGGCAGGTCATAGAATCACAGCTAGCAGTGGGGTAGTTCCGAGCCCCAAAGTGGCTAGGCCACCTGCAGCTGGCAGGACTGAGGAGGTATGCGGCATCCTGCCTGGGAGTTGCAGTGGCTGGGGCTCTCCCTTCACCCATGTTTGACTATGGCAGCTGCTGCCGTGCTACTCAGGTGGTAGTGGTGGCACTATCAAGATGGCAAGATGATAGTGGCTGGCAGATACTTAGGGCCAGTGGGCACCTGCTTTGTTCAGATCCCTGAGAGGCAGCCAGTAGGGGCTTTGGGGGAGTACATGGCACCCAGTCACAATGCATGTGAGAGCACCTTTCCTCCCCATTCCCTCTCTGTCCTGGGAGGGATAATGGGGTCGCGGCTGCAGTGAAGGCCATCCCTCTGCAGACTGGATGCTCTAAGGCTGATAATGCAGAGTGGCATCTGTTGCAGTGACCTGAGAGCAGAAGCTGTAGGGACCCCACTGTGCCAACTCTCTGGTGCAGTCCTGCTGCACAGTCTCCAAGCAACTCTCTGATCGGTTTGGAAACCTGCTGTTATGGGGGAGCCCCCTTGCAGCTCAGGTTGCATGTCCACTGAGGGAGTGCAGAGCCCTTGCAATCTCTCCCTTAACTCTTCTCCATATGTGGACACTTCCTCCAAGTATGTTTCAATCCTGCTGAGCAGATCATCCCACATCTCTCTCCCCTGCTTTGGGTGTCTCCAGTCTCTTCTCTGATGATTCATAATGCTTTCTCCAAGACAGTCGATCTGTGGGTGAACCTCTATAGCAACTCTTGATCCTGTCCTTGAAAGGGGCAAGTGCAGGTTTCTTCTAGTCTGCCATCTTGATCTCCCCCATTGTGATCTACAGGACAACCACTATATATACGGTCCATTGTTGACCTAAATGTCCTTGTGTGTCAACATGACTGTAACTGTAATGCAATGCCATAGACAGGCAGGATATGCTGAAGGAATTCAAA